TTCTTCTCTACCTTATGTGCTTAGCTTTTTTTCCGTACATATCTCTATAGGGGAGAGAGCACATATTAAAAAAGTCTTTTCATGCAATAAACAAAATGAGATAAGAACGATAGCCAACCAGAGGTTGAACCATCGATAATAATGTTGTTTTTATTACATTATAGACAGTTCTTTGATACATTTTCGACAAGTGCAAAATCTATGACTGAACTTCAAACCTGTGCAGGGCAAAATTTGTGTGCTTAACTCTTACTTGACAAATACATACAACTTATACATATCTATCTACTAATTAAGAAAAAATAAAACCAAACCAAATGATTGAGAAAAGAATCTCCGAAATCACAAAACTAAAATTCACGATAAAAAAACAGCAAAAAAAAAACATAATATTATGTTGAATCTATCTGTTAAACGAATCCATGACCCAATTCTTATTCTGCAAACCACCCGGTAGAAGAATTTCGCGTATGTTACATATATCTACTATGCAACATATGGCCGTTGCCTATGTTGGCATTTCTTTGATTTTTCCTTTCCATTTCTAGCTAGCAGAATTTCGCGCTAACATCAGCCGTCACTCAGAATACATAACGTAGAAATAGCAACAAGTGTGATTAAGTTAGTGAAGTTCAATGGGAATATCGGTCAAATTGGCCGTCTTTTAAGGTCATATAACCTTCTACTCTATGCACAGAATATTGCTGTTTCCAGGTCTGCGATTACCAAGCAAAACAAAAAAATAACAAGACCTAAAATAATAATTAAAGACAAAAGCAAAGGCAGGAGTTGAAAGCAAAGCAAAAGGGTTAATTATCCTTCTTTCCTCTTCTTGTTGATCTTTCTTGGTTGGTCTGTAGATATCTAATCATTAGCTTTACTAACAAAATAATATATAAACCAAAAATAAAAGACACATAAAAAACAATAATATTTCCCACCTTTTGATCAAACAACGGAAAGGCACATAATAATAATTAAACAAATTATTATAAAATTTTTATTTATATTCAGTTTAACGTTAGCATAGCATACAACAAGAACAAGGTGTCATTATGATGATTATTTGTATGCTTATAGCTTTATTTCATCTGTCAATAAAAGGTCATGATTTCGTTCCGGCCATACATTGTTCCTACCACAAGCAATTTCCTCCTCTTTTTCTCGTTCATGCCTAGCCAGAAAAGGGATTATCAATAATGATTATTGTGTTACATATAGTATATAATTATTGGGGAGTTTTATGGTAAGAAAATACTACTTGGACTTTGAGTTTACCAAAGTTTGGGGTTCTTTACCAAAGTTTGGGGTTCAAGAGTACATTTTTAAAATCCTTATGAGTAAAGTTCGAGTCATAATTCTCTAAATACTACACTCTAAGATCGATATAATTAGAAACAACAATCAACGGTTCTTATTTGGCGGAATACATCTGTTTATGTCTCGCTGGTAGATGCATCATCTAACAGTTTATGATTTAGAGTTTAGATAATCAGAACCTATAGTTTGCTTATTGATAATTAGGGTATAACATCATACCGCAAAATTCGGTTAATTCAAAGTTTTTAGCATTTTTTTTTTACCAAAAACTATGTGATAGTCTAGATTTACTTAAGTATGACAAAAGTGGGCATCCGATATGGTTAATTACACTGGACTGTGGAGAGTCTCTCTTTGCATTCAAACTGCTTTTCCCCTTTCTCTCTCTAGTCTCAATTTTCCCAGCTCTCTGTATTTTTCCAGTCTCCCAGGGCTGCCGCCGGCACATCTTGGTGACCGGCGGTAGCCCAATCCTCCTTTTCATTTCCGATTTCCTTTCGTGCTCCTCGTCCTCTTCCTCTGTTTTTTCTTGTCTTTCCTTGCCATTTATGGCATTTTGCAGCCGTTGTGGCATTTTGCAGCCGTTGTGGCTTTTCTCGTTCCCTAAGTGGTTCTTTCCACATTCCTCTCGTTAGGAGGAGGATAGTCCGGTTTCTTCTATAGATCTTCTAGATCTGGTTTGGCTCTGCTCTGTTCTGGGTTCAGAGGATGCATATTGGGTTTCTATCCAAGCTTGGTGTGGTCATCTTCTCTTCCTTAAGGGTGATTGCATTCACCGATTCCCCATCCGTCGTCGCCCCTCGAGGCTTCGACTGACTGTAGTGGAAGCGGTGTCTCCTTCAATTGCTGAGGCGGGTGAACTTTGGTTGCAGTAGGTTTGAGATTCATTCAGGGTTTCGTTTGTTACAGTTTTTGTGTGTTGTTGGGAGTGTTTGTGTTGCTGGGGCGGCTTCTTTGGTTTCTGGGTTTGGGTTTGTTTTGGTGGTTCTCTGTCGGCGTTTGGTTTTGCAGGTGGTTTCTCTTCTCGGTTCTGCTTTTGTGTGGTTGTCTTTCAACCCTTGGGTGAATCTCACACTACTTTTTCATGGCTCTCTCCGCTCCGGTCCCGTTGGCCTTGTTTTCAGCTCTGAGCAACCCGTTCACAGTCCTTTCCACCGCCGCGCAATCCCTATTCGGCGATTCACTGTGATGGGTGTCTTTGAACAACCCCCAGCAGGCGGCATATGATTTAGCAATGCCTTTATCATGGTCAAGACTAGTTTTGGGTGAGCTGAAGCTGCTGTGTTCCACTCCGGTTGATATGATTACAAAGTTTGCTGATTCCTGTGATTTGGCTCATGGAAGGTCCCCTTGTTGTTTCTGTTCTTGTTGTGTTGCCTTCTGTATTTTTTTGGCTGTTGCTTTCCTTGTAGGTGTTCTCTGGATGTTGATGTTCTTTACTGGTTGGTTTGGATTTTCTTTCTTGTTTGGGGTTTTATTTCTGGTAGCTGAATTTCAGGGGTTTTCCTCTTCTTTGTAACCGTGTTTTGTCTAAGTGAAATACAAGCATCCACTTTGTCAAAAAAAAAAAAAAAAGATATGGTTAATTACTACACTGTTCATGTCAAAGTCGCACAGTATATATCAATAATCACATAGAATCAAAACAGGGGAAGCCTTTTTTACAATCTTTTTACCGGAACAGGGGGCAAAAGAAAGGCATCTTTTCAAAGAACTAGGGGCGATCTTTATCGTTTATCAGATACCTAATTATGATCATTTGTTTTCTTAATCAAGTTTTATGTTAATTGTTAATTAAGGATGTTAATAATCAGTGGATGTCCTCGACAATGCTAAATTCCCGTTTATATAAAGGGAAGACAAGGACGCGCCATTTTGTGAGACAGACGGTCCTCCTAATTAACTCAGCAAACCCCAAAACCCATCATTAGTTACTCTACCTATTTACCATGAAGCATCAAAGTTAAGTTTTCAATCAGCTAGTGGGTCGACGTTGAAAGGCATCCAACCCTAAAAGAATCACTCATATTATTGGTGACAAATGTTTAATTACGGATGTTACGTCATTCTCTTATACGTCCCCCTCAAATAAAAATTGTTTCGATCTAGATCCTGTAACCCGGTGATTAGGAGTTCTGGTTGGGCTCCTTCTTTCGTTCTCTTGGGGAGTGTGGGAACATGTGGAGAACAGGGTAGTTTTACGGCCGAACCGCCGATAAGGTATGGTTTCACAAACATTGAGCTGGGGTCGTCCTCCTTGAAGAGACACATTAGAGTGGGTTGGGGCCTTAGGTAATGTGCCATAGCAGTGGACTTATACACATTGATGACTAATTGTATTAGTCGTATTATGCATCTCAATACATATCACAAAAATACTCAACTCATGAGTTTGAAACTCGTGGAGGCTCACTAGCTTTGATATGACTTTCATGAACCGTTTGATTTCAATTACTGGACCTGTTGGGAGATGTTTAATATATTCAATATATATATGCATGGTATCATAGAGTGTATCACTTATTGTCCCAAATTATAAACAATGCATTTTTTTTATTTAACATTTGAAATCATTTATTTTAAATAATTTATAACTAACTGAAATTGTTTTTTTAGGGAACTAGCTGAAATTGTTGAGATTGCGAACCTCTTTTTCTTTTTATTCTTGTTTGTATGAACTTTTGTGTACTCCCATAAAGTGGGGTTAAATTTGGGGAAAAGTGGCTTTACCTTCTCATTTGCTAAATTATAATACAACAACCAAATATTGTAATATTAAAATTTCCTCATTTAAACAATGCATTCATTCATAATATCCATCAATTTTCACTACTAAAATTGTAAAATGATTCCTCAAATTCACCATAATATGAAGATCTTTCATGACTATACATAATTGCTAGACCAATCCTTTTCTACTTTTTTAAGTGATCAATCATGCAACAAAATATATTCATCGCACAAATACACTAAACAGACAAAAAAAATTGGTTTAGAACTACTGAAACAAGTTGTCATTAATCAAGGTTAAATCGAATGATAAAACCACCCAAATTAGTTGAAGGAACTACGATCTCGAAGTGGAGGGCTAAGCTTTGCTAGCGAAGTAGCTCGACTCACTCGAGGTTGACTCTGCATCACGAATGAGGAGAGAGAGCAGATATAAGGCAATAAGGTTATTTGCTTTTTTAAAAAAAATTTGTGTACTTTTCAGCTTCTTTTTAGTTTATGATGCCATAACATAAACTAAATATTAAAAAAAAGTTTTAGGATGAAGATAGTCATTACTCATTAGTATAAATTTCGAACCAAAATAAAATATTAATCGACATATAAATACACCTAGACAGAAAATTTACTTATAAATATTAATTAAAATATATAATATAAGGAAGAAAAAAACCACACCACCGGTCAGCAGTCACCACCATTAACGAAGATTTCTCAGAAGTGGGCTCCCCTTCTGCACGCCTATAAATATTGTACCCTTCTTCTCTCCTAATTCCTTTATTATCTCTCTAGTTCACACACACAAAAAAGCACTACTCCGTTTTCTACGGTTCCCCTCTGCCATTCTCACTTCACCAACGGCTCACCGGCGCTAGCAAGCTTTGCCCCCCCACCTCTCCGGCGGACTACCAAAAAAATCTCTTGCCCCCCCTCTCCCCACCGACTCCACAATGGTCGACGTCGACCGACGAATGACCGGCCTCAACCCGGCCCACATCGCCGGGCTCCGCCGCCTCTCCGCCCGCGCCGCCGCTTCCTCCACCGCCAACTCCGGCGTCCCCCTCCCCGTCCGCAACGGCCTCCTCTCCTTCACCTCCCTCGCCGACAAAGTCATCACCCACCTCCGCAGCTCCGGGATCCAGGTCCAGCCGGGTCTATCCGACCCGGAGTTCGCCCGCGCTGAGGCCGAGTTCGGCTTCTCTTTCCCTCCCGATCTCCGCGCCGTCCTCTCCGCCGGACTCCCCGTCGGCCCTGGATTCCCCGATTGGCGCTCCCATGGAGCTCGCCTCCACCTCCGAGCCTCGCTCGACCTCCCCATCGCTGCCATCTCGTTCCAGATCGCGAGGAACGAGCTTTGGTCCAGGTCGTGGGGGACCCGACCCGCCGACCCGGAGAAAGCGCTCCGGGTCGCGAGAAATGCGCTGAAGAGGGCGCCGCTCCTGATCCCGATTTTCAACCACTGCTACATCCCCTGCAACCCGTCGCTGGCTGGGAATCCGATCTTCTTCTTGGACGAGACCCGGATCTTCTGCTGCGGGCTGGATCTGTCCGATTTCTTCGACCGAGAATCCCTCTTTGCAGCCGGTTTTGAGTCCGAATCCGACCCGATTCTCCTCACCAAGCAGAGATCTGTCAGCGAGAAGTCAGCCGGGTCCTCCTCCTCCTCGTCGTCGTCCAATTTTTCCCGGCGGAGCCTGGACACGGGCCTCGCGAACAGAACGCCGAGATGGGTGGAGTTCTGGAGCGACGCGGCGGTGGACCGGCGGCGGAGGAACTCTGCGTCTTCGTCCTCCTCGGACTCGTCATCTTCGCCGGAGCGATTCTTCGAGATGCCGAGATCGGAGGCGGCGCCGCGTTGGGTGGACGAGTACGTAGGCCGAATCGGGTCGGTGTTGAGGGAAGGCGGGTGGAGCGAGTCCGACGTGGAGGAAATCGTCCAGGTGTCCGGCTCCGGATTCTTCGAAGGGGAGATGGTGTTGCTAGACAACCAGGCCGTGCTGGACGCGCTGCTGGTGAAAGCGGATCGGTTCTCAGATTCGCTCCGGAAAGCAGGGTGGAGCTCCGAGGAAGTCTCCGACGCGCTGGGGTTCGATCGCCGACCGGAAAAGGAGAGGAGGAAGATGCCGGAGAAGAAACTGTCGCCGGAGCTCGTGGAGAAGATCGGGAAACTGGCCGAGTCGGTTTCCCGGTCGTCGTAACCTTGAGCAGCCGGATCGAGGAGATGGAGATTCTTTTTTTATATATTTTTTTATTTTGAAAAAAGTAATCGGGGATTGGCTGGGTGGTTGATTTTTATTTACCCCACACTTTTTGGGTAGTGCAAATGGAGAGAGGGATAGGGGGCAAGGTTATAAATACACGTGTAAAAACCTGAAAGGGGATATGTACTGTTGGGAACGCTGCCGTTTAGAAGGAGCGGCAAAATTAATATGAGTGAGGATGGAAAACGAAATGATTATGTTCATAAATGTAACAATTAATCAATTACTTTATGTTTGGGCTTTAAGTTTTAAGTTTTAACTAACTTGGGCCGTGCTTACAGCTAATGATTAGTGTACTAAAAGTAAGCAAACTTGGTGGACAGCTATATTTATATTTTATTTTGTTTGGAGTTGGATTAAGTTTTGGTTTGTAGCCGTATTTGTAAAATCATAACATAGAGATGGTCGGATTGATTGTTTATATCAAATTAGTAAATAATTTATGTGAAATGGTTCAACACAAAACATTATAAGAGTGAATTCTTTCGATCAACATCCGATACGGGTTTACCCTAATTGCTTTTGGGTTTACTATAATTATATTGTGGGGGAGCTGAACTGGCTCAACTTTCAAAAAAGGCAGAGAGTGGGTGCACGTGTGGCTTCAAAGAAAGAGAAAGTAGACGTTGTTGTGTTGGGAGAGCGGGTCCCGGTTCTTGGTGGATGCGTTGATGTCGTCGGTTGAGGGGGGGTGGTCGGAGGTGGCAATGTCGCCGGCGGCGGGGACCGGTGACCTGGCGGTGGTGGTTGAGTTTCGTATTACTGGGGGAACCGGGTGGCAAATCTCGGAAGGTGGGGGGGAATGGGATGTTGATTTTGAGGGGGGGGTCGTTTAGCGGGCAGGAAAAGTGTCGTTTTGCTGTGGGTTGGGTTTTAGGATTTCGCTTTCATTTGTGTGTGTGTGTGTGGATGCATATAATTTTGTTTTTGGCGTTGTGGGTTGAGATCAGAATCAGATGGAAAAGCCTTATGGGAAAAGGAAAGTAGAAGGCAGAATCCTGTTGAGATTGATTTCACGATGTAGGTTAAAGTGGAACCATGCGCGCCAGTTTTGCAGTTTGGGGAACGAGAAAAGGGAAAGGAGCGGCCTGGAAACTGGGACTGGGAAGGCGGAGATTCGGCCTATAGCTGCTACTTCTATTCTTTTGACAAGGTTTTTTCAAAATGCATATTTTTCTTTTGAAGCGAACTAGAGGTTGTCTCGGAAAAGTTAGAATTATGGTGTTTTGTAACGATACTTTTTACTTATATTTACATTTTGAGACTGATTAAAACCGGTGTTACCAGATTTTAGCTATTGTGTAAGGTTTTTGAAGTTCAAAATATCTTGGGTTAAGGTTGTTCACATACAAATTATTACTTTAAACGACCGTAAAACGTGCGACAACGTTCTAACAAGAAGGATGTTACAACCCTAACTGAATTGCTGTAGTTTCATACTTGGGAAAAAAGATGCTTAACATAGTCGTAGGATGTACAGAAGAAGATTCTGCCTGCTATAATATAGCTATTCAAATAAACCCAAAATTGAGATCTGACAAGCCTAGCCACCCCACAATAAATAATAGCAAGGGCAATGGAGTCAAAATGATGCATTTATAATTCAACGGCCACTTTACCAGCAGAACAAGTAAAAGATAAAGACCACAAATACAAGGCTAAGGCAGATACTGCGGCCGGCAAACCAAAGGAAATTTGGGCATAGATATTTGCAATTACCGAATATCATATCAAATTAATCACTATTAAATAATTTTAAATATTTAAATTCTTTTTAGAGAAAATTGTGTGATATTCAATATTATGAAACTGAAATCGGTCTATACCGAATAATATACATAAATTTACAATTAATTAAATATCATTCACAAATTCTCGTCATTGCTCACACTTTTACAGCTTGCAAGCCTCATCCTATTCAAGCTTAACTTTCAAGTTTTCATTGATCAAACTCTCATCTCTCACTCAATCTCTTCTTATTTTCGTAACACCAAATTAAATGCATACATTTCAATTAATCGTTTCTCATCTTCCCTTCCATTGAATAAAAAATTACCAAAGGCAAGAACTTGAAATATCATCATCTCATCCCTTACCTTTGTCCATATTAACTTTAGACAAACTCAAAACTCTTTTGCAAAGTTAATAAGCCGAAGTGGACACCTGTAATGAATTCAATCCGTTCAATTGAAAACTTTAATTGATTCAGTTCAATGATGCCTTTAGATTAGTTTTTATCAAATGTTTCTCACCTCAATTTCTCATCACTAAGGTCATTACTCATGAAATTGAATCTTCAAGCCTACACCAAATAAAATAAAAATTCTGGATCAGAGGTGTTCAAACCATTATTTATATATATACTTAATTATTAATTTTAAAGGTAATTAATTTGGTATTTTCATATACCGTCCGCATCGAAATATTTTTAGATTGAAATACATAATTTATTTCAAAATTGAGATTGATTTCACGACACTATTCGATATTCAAATTACCCGATATTTGATATCGAAAATACCAATACCACACCGATTTCCGCACAACCTAACCTGACAGGCACTTATTTCTATTCCTCCGAGCTATCTCCCTGCACATACGAATTTAATGACCGCCCCATCCTCAACCGCCTCTACCCACTCCCCCAACTGAAAACTGTCTGCCGCCGCCGCCGCCTGACGAGACTGACCGACGACTGCATGCCCTTATCCGGCGCCATCGCCATCACCACCGTCATGAGTGTATATGCATTCACGTGCCACCACTTTTAAGTTGAAAGGCGCTGAAATTGGCCGGCCTCTCTGTTTCTTTGCGTGGGAGGGAGGGAAGGGAAGTATGGGCTTCTTCTTCTAACCAACTGCCTGTGTCTCCAGATCCATAGACAGAAACGACGGGTCCCTCAATTCGCATCTCCATAGCCACGAGCTCGAACAACGACCCAAATTGGGTTTTGGCCCCCCCACCAATATTTTGGGGACCGTTTCTCTATCAAATGTTTGGCAAATAGTATTGGATATGTAAGATCCATTAATACGTCATTGTTGAATTGATTTGAATCGAAGTATCAACCATTACGATTGGAAGTAACGAGGGGTCTCGTTGTTATTTGGGTTCGTATTCTGGGCCTGGTCTGTAACTGCTTTTTCTTTACCGGATTGAATTAGGGTTAGACCTTGAAAAAGTACTATAAATACTTTTCATACTTCTTCTGTAATCCGTATCTCCTCAAAGTACAGTGAAACTGGCTCTCTCCTCCTGCCCGCGGACTAACTAACACTCGGTGTGCTAGTGAGCCACGTAAATCATGTGTCGTGTGCGTGCTTTCGTTTTCTTGCATTGTCGAATCCTCCAATTTCCCGATCCGCAAAAAAAAAAAAAAAAAAAAAACAAACAAACAGTCGTGACAGTCACAAACTTAGGATTATGGTTTCGGTGAAAAGATCGATAGAGAACAACATGAATTCGTGGGTTTTCAACCAAATGGTAGCTCTAGCTCAATCGGTGTGGCAAGACCGGAGTGTAAAAGCCTAAAAGGTGCAAATTAAAGAAGTGGTTTAAATTCTTACGTAGACGTCTTTTAACAACTCAAGCTATTGAAATTCGTTGATTTATAACATAATATTATTAGTGTCTGTTTATTCAAGAGATCACAACTCTCAATATTAACCCTTGTTCTAGATCACATAATACGGCAATCCATTGTTGGCCATTGCATGAAAAAAAAAATCTTGTAATTAAATTATTACGTTTTGTTTGTCGTTAGCTAGTGTGGTGCGATCGGGAGGGTCGCTGGTGGTCGGCCGGTGGGGCTAACGTTGTCGTCGGAAGAGCGGCCATAGATTTGCAAGGGGAAGCGTTCTCGTTTTGTTTTGTCAATAGAACGGGAACACAGATGATGGCTCTTTACGTATGTTCGTGGGCTCTTAATGATGGGACATGGCGTTTTGGAGTTTATGATTTTATCACAGTAGATCTCTATGAAATTTTGGGAGCATGTTCTTTCCCTATCAACTTCATTTTCCACCGTCCTTCCGACGACGACCGGATGTTGACATGATATAAACTCTAGGGCCAAAGACTAGTTTGTCGTAATTGTATTATACAAAAAAAAAAAGTTTACAATGTTTTATTGGATGGCTGTTTTGGTTTATACAAAAAATGCATTCTTTCTTATGCTACAAATTGTATTTATGTTTTTGAAGTTATTGAAATTGAACAAATTCCATTTGAATCTATATTTTCTTATGGACTTATGGTACAAATTGGACTTACATTATAATATAAGGGCGCCGTTTGGTTTTGCTGATTGTTTGGTTGGGATAGTTACAATGCATGTATTGTCTACAATGCATTATTGTTTTCATTAATTAATTTTATGCACAAACAATACATGCATTATTTGCTTGATGTGATGGAAATTATCACTCATAATGAGTGATAGTACTATCTCTACTAAAACGTGAAATTGTTGAGATAGTTTTGAGAAGATTGTTGGGTTCATTTTTTGTTCCAAGTATACCCCTAGTTATATATATATATATGTTCTCATAAAAGTAAGGGCAAAATCAAACAATGTAAAGTAAACATTTTGAATACTAAAAAAACTATCACCAAAATCAAACAATGTAAAGTAAATTACATAATTTTCCTTATTGCATGTATATTACAATGCATGCATTGACCACAATACATTGATTTAAGTATCACCAAAACCAAACGACCCTTAAATGTATAAATTTCTTTATGATATAAACATAACTTTTACCTTTAACGTACGTTATCATACAAGTTCAGAGTGTACCTAGAATCACTAATACTTTAGAGAATAGTAAAAAGACGGTAAAGATATATTTTGTATTGAAACTTCTCAAAACTGTTCTCCGTTGATTTACTAAATATTTTCTTGCTCTTTCCGCATGGGTTCGATTAGCGTAGTGCTAAGTGTTTTGATTTTTTTCGGCCCGGCGGCGTTCCGGCCGCAATTTTTTTTCGGCCCATCGTGTTTTTCGCCGGAAAACTGGGAAAATTGCCGGAAAACTGAAAAACTTGCCGGAAAAAGTAAACTTACTTGTTTTCCGACGATTGAGGACGACGGGAGGTTGGCCGGCGAAGGAGGCACTGGGCTCGTCGACAAAAGTGTTTTTGTTGGAATGAGTCAAATGTTATGGTATTCGAATTTATAGGGAAGGAAGGGAGAATTCAAAATTTGAATTCAACTTTTTTTTTTTTTTTGGTTGGCGGCAAATAGCAATTTGGTTGGCGGCAAATAGCCGTTCACAAAATTAAACTATATTTACATTTTCTAAGTTATCCTCCTTTACAAGTATATTGTAATGTGATAAACTAATTAAAGAACACAGAGGAATTATAAAGAAAAAAAGTTGTCCTCCTAAAAAGTGATATGGGATCCACATTTGAACTTAAAGAGAAGTTCGAAACTAATGATATATCGTGACAATATGTATCTTTGAAATTATATCATTTTTTACACTCAATTGACTCTTTTTCCAGGATTTAACTTACTTATACAAGTTATTCATTGATAACACGGAAGGGTAAAATTTATCACATTTCCTATTCCCGGTTTTGTACAAAAAGTTTCTGATAAAAACGGTAAAATCGTGTTATTACCTTCTCATATAACCCAAAACTGTTCTTGGTTACTAGCCAAAAACACTAGTCTTTCTTGTCAAACTTCTTACCATATGGTGGTGCTCTTCTATATTTATATATACTAGTTTTCATTGCCCGCGCGATGCGCCGGGACTTGTTGTATATGAAGATTACATAATTACCACTTATTATGAAATTGCATGATGTGTTAATGTTTTCGCACAGTAATCGTCCTTACAAAGTATATTATTATGGTCCAATAGCCAGTGTTCCACGTCAAGATTGGAGTGCACTCATTTTTTTATGAGTACACACTTAATTACATATATAATTCATATGTATTATAATATATGCAAATTGTAACAACGTACATTGGCTAATGTGGTATGATTTATGATAAAATGACCATTCTGACCAAGTGTTGTTGTATGAAATCTAAACATCTGGATTCTATAATGAACATATCCCAGCAGTAAAGGTGAAGATTGCATGAAATGTAAGAGGCCTTGTTAATTTCGCATTCATTGACCAACAATTTTGACACATTTCAACTTCCAGGTAAATCAAGGGTCATTTATAACTAAAGTGAAAAATGTCTTCTTGCCAAAATCAAAGAATACTAACTACAATACAAAGCAAGCTTAGGCTTAAATTTTCAAATACATGTACAGTACAAATGGAATCCAATTAAGTATCAGATTAGTGCGAATGAGTAAATATAAATTGTCGTGAGCCGATGGTTTATATAACTGTAAGTGTGCATTTTACAAATAAAAATAAAGCATGGACGCCTGGATAAAGGTTCTCAAATTTTAGTATTTCACCAGCAAAGATTCATATGTAGGGTAATTGCATGACCAAAAAAGAGAATAGGTTTATAGCTTACAACCTTACATCCAAGAGCGCCAAATTCCAGGTAGTGACTACGCACATTAGTATACAAATACTACTGAATTGGAACCATAAAGCCATGCCGGGAAAGTTGACAAATTTATGTACAATTTGGTAACTTAAGATGCGAGGCTTTACAACACAGCCGAAACTCATGAAATTAACAATCTATAGTGTATAAAGCAGAGGCAAACACGTCTCAATTCATCCATATGGGCGATCATGTATGATGTATACGCAAACCAACATAATAAAAATAAAATTATAGCAGTGAATAACCAAATCACAATTTTCAGGATAACCATAGACAACAGTTACAGAGACACTGGAATAGAAGAGATTGTTGGTCCTTGTGATGCCTCCCCTGTAAACACAAAAGAAGGATTATATCAGCAGAGGAAAAAAGAACTTAAACATCCATTTATATGCGATGAGTTTAACTTGAAGAGCGATAGATCATATATGCATAAATAAAAGGCAAATATTTAAAACAAAAATAGAAAGGAAGGAAAAACAACAATCATCAACTGATAAGTCTAAAAAATCTATTAATTGTAGACTTCTGCTTCTTATGGTCGTGGTATTCTTCATGACCACGGTGTTGATTCCCAGTTTCCCACACCACCCTGAAAATGCTGGAAAAAAAACCCAAAGGCAAAAGATGAAAGAATTCGGAGCCGATGCTCCCTACAGATGCCTTGGAGAGCGGCAATTTCCGTGATATCAGACACATTATCAACCTACAAAACCCAGGATCAACCTCAGAGCATCAAATAATTATAGTAATTGATCAGAAAAGAGAAAGTGGGATTGAAAACAAAAGGAAAGAGGAACTAACCTGATAGTTTTAGGTGGACGGGATTGCTCTGCCAACTCCCCTGATGTGGATCTTGTTACCACCAGCTGAGTTTCCTCTTCAACGTGGATACACACCCTGACAAAAGAAGCAAAATAGATGAAATAGGAGAGCAGATAAATAAATGCACCAACACCAAAGTGAATATGTTCTTCACAAAAAGAAGGGAAGGAGAGCTACTGTTGGGTTTCAAAGATGGAAGAAAGGCAAGAGTGCACAAATAGGCTGCCCAGATCTAACATTTTCACCAGGGATGTCATCGTCCACCATAACCACAAATCCCCCATGGATTAAACATGATTCCAAAACAAAGCTACAAAAATCCTTACAAAACTCTTAGCCATTGATGGCAAACTGAGATCTCTCATGTTCCTCATTGCAACGGCGGTGGAGAGAGAGAGAGAGAGAGAGAGTGAAGAGAGAAATTTGGTTAGCAGGGGGAGGGAAGACGAAAAAGTAGAGTGAGGCCATCTTCTCATATACCGTGAAAGGCAAGTAGGGTGTAGGGATTGCTACACTTCTACCAAAAATGCAAATGCAATTATGGCGTCTTGGAATTGGATACTGCGTCAGACCCCTTCATTACCTAAAACAACGGAAAAGTCCCACTTCCAAAAAAGCTGCATACAACCAGTATCCATCAGCGACTCCATCCTCTCCAGGAGTCCCTGCCAGCGGGCACATCAAACCTTCTCACAAACTTGTGGTCTTCGATAATATGAATGAGCAACGTGGTGTGTAAATCGACCACAAATGTCACATAAAATATTCTTTTTTTCCTCTCAGCTGTCAGCACCCTCGAGTCCCGTCAAGGTACCATCAAACTACTTTATGGGTTCGTTGGGAACCATTTAGCCTACAGATGACCAACGTGAAAAGGGAAACCAGAATGGAAAAGCAACCATAAGTCTCAACCAGCAATTCAGAGGCAACCAGCAATTCCGAAACCAACCAAAGAACACGATGCACCCTCCCACACTCAAGCCTCATCCGAGTTGAAACAGTAACATTGAGTCACGATGTACAGTCAAAGTAGTCTTGGTGCACAGGAAATGGCAATGCTAGGGGTTTTCTTTTTTCAAAATATGGAACTCTGTCTTGTGTCTTCCTGGTAGCTCAACTAATAGTGGACTTTCCAATTTCCATTATTTCCCAAGCATCTCGATTGCATTATTTGAGGAAGGAAAGAGGGAAAATTGGACAGGTTGACTCGATTTTGTCAATGGTTACCATCATGTGTCATGTCTATTGTGTACCCCAAAACTTTGGTCTCCTCGAAAATGCTTAGGCCTTTTTTTCGTCCCCATTTTTGTCACTTCATCGAACCTAAAAAGACATACCGACAATGGTCCAAGCACTACTGTTTAACAGTTTAACATGAACAGTTACTTGACCCAAATTTTACCTGAACATGGAGTAAGGATTTGCAGAATTCCATCTCATAGGAACAGTGTGCCTTAAATCTTTCTAAGGGAAATGAAAAAAGGGATGTTTGTGATCATGGGTATTATGACGATTCACTCGAAACCTTTCTCTTGCAGCTCCTGAATGACTTCATTCCTCATCCTGATCCACAGCTTCCCGGCCTCCTGGTCGAACTTCTTGCTCTGCAGGTCCTTCTGGTAATTGTACGAATCCTTGTCCGTCGTCTCCACCACGCCCTTGGGGCCGATGGTGGTGCCGATCATTCCGCCCTTGGCGACGAACTCTTCCATGGCTTCGGTGTCGCCAGGGTAAGGAAACTCCCGCCGCTCGTACAGATGCGCCAGCTCCTTCTCTTCCTTGGGCCTCGGCTTCAGCGTCCACCAACCCAGCGGAGAGGTCTCGTTGTAGAGCCACGCCAGGCCGAAGATGGTGTAGGTGCAGGCCAGGGCCTTGCCTATCTGCTTCCAGAAGTGCCAGTCGTCTCTTCCGATCCCCACTCTGCTCAGGTACTTGTTGTAGTTCAGCGATTTCAGATTCTCGATACCTGCAGCATTAAAAAACATAGATAATCGGTCAGGCATTTCGTCGAACACTTGGAGGGCAGCTAAGCTGGGTTGTTCTGAATGGAAGGAGAAATTGAGAGTTAAGCGAGTTAAGCTGCAGAGCCGTATATGTTCTCTTTACCTGTCTTGGCTTCTTGGTAATGCTTGCGCACCATTGGAGCGAGAAAGGGATCGGATCGGAATGGCTTTCTGCCGCCGTCAGCTCAGTGGTGGTCTATCGCCGATCGGGTCACCGGCTCTCAACGCTCAACTTTTCCCTTCCACGAAAACTCTTTGAGCCAACTTAGCTCAAAATGTATCTGGGCCCGGATTTCTGAAATTTGACGAGTCACTCACTCTCATGATTTAAATCTCATATTCACAGCCCAGGCCCAAGCCCAAGATTGGCAGCAAGAGCAAATGAGAGATATTTATTTCAGCTATTTGTTTGCGCACGAAAATAAAAACAAATTCGAATCCGGGAAGAAAGGGAGTTGGAAATTGGAATCCTCGTCTGTTTGATAGCTCTCGGAACTTCCGGCGGATACCACCACCACCACGTCCCCACGCCGGCGTTGCAATTCCCCCGCTCCGACGGAGAAACTGAGCCATCATCGATCATCTCTCCGATAAATCCCACTCAGCCTCTCTCCCCCGTTTCGGTAAGCTCTGATCCCTTTTCTCCGTGCCGTTTACGTAAGTGCGATTGATGCTCGCATGGCCTGCAGAAGTGATTATGGTTGGTAGGGAGATCGGGAGTGAGCGTTTCTGTTTTCTTGCTCTCTAATTTCATCGCGTAATCTCGTCTCTGTTTGTAAGAATTGATGCTTCGATACTATCTCGCGGACTTTCCTGCTTCCTGTTTCATGCCGATTTTCCCGAATTAAAACTGGCCGGAAAAAAATAACGCTCCGGCTAGATCTGTATCCCGATCACTAGACCCGGTACGCAAAGGCAAACGTGCGATGATCGTATTTCTTGTGGCTGAAGTCTTCTGGAAGACTTTCCCCTTCCAATTTCTTTTTGCCTACAATTAATGTTCCCCCCTTTATTGCCCCTTCTTTACCTAATTCATTGTTTTAATAGTATCAGCTTGAATTCACTGTTTTCGTGATTATGGTGTAAAAGAATGGATCTTGGTGTCTTGAACCACAATGTTTTACCCAGAATTGTACGATCTTGTATGTATTTTTGGATGGGAGCTCAAGATCTGCTACAAGTTTCTGAGTTCTTGCAGCACAGTGACCGCTTTGTTTAGTGTGCTTGGCTCTGTGTGTTTTGGCGGCAGGGGTTATTTGTGTATATGGAAATGGTGATGGTAGTAGAGTTTCCCCCCCTGATTCAATGTTTACATGATTGTTCTCTTGTTATTATCTCGAAAAGGGAATGGAAAAGACGATCAGAATGCACAAGCCTTCAGCGTCTTTCGAGTACGAGCTTTTTGATGGAGATCCCGACCACCTGAGAACTGTTGTCGCTACACCTACCCAGATTGTGCCATGGATCAATCCATCTGAGTTGAAGTTCAAGCACAGGATTGGGCGAGGAACATTTGGTGATGTGTGGTTGGCAACGCACCATCAGTCTTCCGATGATTTTGACGAGCACCATGAAGTTGCTGTCAAGGTGCTGCACCCTCTAAAGGAAGACCTAGGGCAGAAGTTTGTGGAGAATGTTGAAGGCCTGTTCTTGAGAATGAGAGAACTCCAGGGGGTTTGTTGGTTGCATGGTATCTCAAAGATAAATGGCCAGGTGGGTTTCTCGCCCCAAGTCCATCACTTTTATTTTTTAAGTTTACACGAGCTTAGAAACAATCCATCAACTTCTGGACATTGGCAACAATCCATCACTGAAAATGCATAATCTAAATAACTTAATGTTATTGTTGCAGTTGTAACTTAATCTGATTGGGTTCTGACTTCTGATGTTGTTGCAGATTTGCATTGCAATGAAAATCTATGAGGAATCGATTGCTGACCAGATTGCTAGATCAAAAGGAGGCAAGCTCAAACTACCAGATGTCGTGAGGTCACATATAAAAACTTCTGTAGCTTCACCAGGACCTTCAGTGTTCTTCTAGCGGATGTAACAATATGTCTTGTTGCCAAACTTTGCATGTTTTGCAGATATGGCATCGACTTGGCAAGAGGAATCCTACAGTTACACTCGCTTGGTTTGCTGCTACTGAATGTCAAACCTTCTAACTGCCTTCTCGATGAGCATGACCATTTGATCATTGGGGATTTTGGAATCCCTTACCTTCTTCTAGGCATACCATTGTTGAATTCAGATGTAGCCTTGAGGCTTGGATCTCCAAGTTACATGGCCCCAGAACAATGGGAACCAGAAGCAAGAGGTCCATTGTGTCTCGAGACTGATTCTTGGGGTTTCGGTTGTAGCATTTTGGAGATGTTGACTGGAATTCCACCTTGGTCCGGAAAATCATTGCAAGAGATTTATAAATCTGTTGTTCTTAAGCAAGAGAGGCCATCAATACCAAATGGGTTGCCTCCTGCTGTGGAAAATGTTATATCCGGCTGTTTTGAGTATGATCCCCGGAACAGACCTTTAATGGATGACATCCTGGCTGCATTTGAGAGGTACTTCTATGTCTCAATTATTGCTTGATTACTTGCTTTCTTTGTTAAAGTTTTTTACCCAAATTATTAATGACAAAGATCACATGGATCGTCTAATTAGTTGTCAACTACAAGGAAGAAGAGATTAGAGTGGTTCTTGGCGATGTGGGTTGGAATTCGGTCAACTGTTGTGTTTGTTAACTTGGGTATGAGTTGCTGCGTAATTACTTCTTTTCGTTGAGTTAAGGTTGCACTGTATCTGCAGCTCGCAGGTTTCTGTTCACGCCGATGAAGGATGGATTAGTCCACAGCGAAGTAGTAGATCATTCCAAGAAAAGTCGCCTGTTGTTGGCTATACAACTTGGTATCTCTCAAAAGATTATCTCCAAGTAGACGACATTGTCCGTTCAAGAAAACCCCTGAATGCACAAAAGCCGCAGACCACACCTTTGCAGAAGGGAACAGTTGTCGGAACAGCCTCCGATAGATCCGGACTCATTCTGGTGAAGATTTCCGGAGTTCACAACCCTGTGAAGATACAAGAGTCCACCCTCGAGAGGGTTACATATGGTCTTTCAGCTGGCGACTGGGTTCGCCTGAAGGCCGACAACAAGTGCAACCACTCTCGTGTCGGCATTCTCCATTCCGTCAAACGCAATGGACGTGCAGCAGTTGGATTCGCAGGCCGTGAAATCCTCTGGATGGGAGACGCTTCTAAGCTTGAAGTGGCTCAACCTTACTATCTGGGCCAGTTCGTACGACTGAAAGCCGACGTATCTTCTCCTCGGTTCAGTTGGCCTCGCAAGGGAAGAACTGGTTGGGCCACTGGCCGAATTTCACGCGTGCTTCCTAACGGATGTCTCATGGTAAGCTTCCCAGGACGGTTTGTGTTCAGAGATAACAATTCAGAATTCTACTTGGCAGATCCAGATCAGGTGGAGCTCGTCACCTTCGGAACATGTCCTGGGATCGTCGAGAAATACCAGCATGTCGAGGATTTCCATTGGGCGGTCAGACCGTTAGCTGTTGCACTGGGCGCGTTCACTGCATTGAAGCTTGGGATGTCTGTCGGGCGAGCTGTGAGCTGCAAACTGGGGAAGGGATCCAAGTCGGATGAGAACAAGATTGGTGGAAACACGGCTTGGCTCCCGCAACCTGTTGCCAACATAATAAAAGAGATGCACTCTTGACCAAACAGGTTCGCCTCCTGTTTCCTGAATGCAAGCAAATGGCAAAACCGTAAACAAAGCTTCTAAGTGTACATGGTACCGCTGTCTGTGTAATTCCCTCTTCTCCTGTGTAGGTTTTTTGTAATTCAAGAACGTTTCAGATTCGTTCCTTTCTGGTGTTCCAGTTTACTGTTTCTTTTTGCAGTCTTGTTCCAAGTTATAAAATGATGCAGATATCTGTCTGTAGCCGACGAAGCACGAAAACCTTTTATTTTCCTTCTTCGTTCAATATATTACATCATTCAGCTGATACTGAAAGTCTGCAACTATGTATATTCACCCATTTCTTTCTGAATCCTATAGCTATGCAGCAGGCATTACTTGCTGCTCAAGTTTGCTGACAAAAGCTGTACAAATTCCTCATCAACTACCACCAAAACCTTTCATACTGCCTGGAAGACTTCTTTCTCGTCCTTCTCTGCCGCCTTTGGAGAAGACCTCAGCACCTTGACCCGAAACATGGTCTGTACCAGAGAAAAACTCTGAATCTTGACCAAGATCCAATCCCATAATCAATCACAGAGAAAGAGAGAGAGCATACCTTCTTATCAGAACCAAACTCAATGGAATCCGAGGGATGGAACCGGGTTGGGAAGTTTGGAGGTATCCTGTGCCGTCTTCCTTCGTTACTGCATTATCATAGACTCGGGACTTAATGAAGAATTACGGTATATACAGTAGAGTATGAGCCAAGACTTCCAGAAACTTACTCAGTGACGAAGGTTCCATGTTTGCTCCTGAGATCTGACAAGTAGAAGTAGCCATTTTTGTAGCTAATCTGTGCATGCTGTGTGGAGACCTAAAGATCGGGAAAGGGGAAGGGGTTGAAGTTAGCATTATACCTTCCCTTTCTGCCACAACCGGACAGAGTGTGGTTAATAGCATTCAACTGATTACCTGAGGAGATCGTATGACTACAGATACTCCAGGGGAATCTTCCTGCGACGTACTCCCGAAAATGAGGGGTTGTTCCTTGTCCCGAGGCATGTGAATAGGTTCTGAAGAAGCTGCCTCATGTCCATATGGGAGAAGAAACCACCTTCAAAACACGGATAAAAATGGAAGTAAGAAAAAGATTAGCATGAATTGCACATGCAGTTCAGAGAACATGTTGAAGACGAGGAAGAGCAAAGGGGTCGTACTCTCCATCAAGAGCACGCTCTAGCGCGTCATCATCGTCGAACCATCTGCTCAACTGATCACTAGCCTGTGATCAACAATCCCATTTGAGAAGTTTTCATAATCCATTAAATTCAACATGACAAACAACGAATCACAGAACGCAGAAAAAACAATCGCGAGAGTGAGACATACTCTGTCCGACAGTCTGCACGATGCTGACCTCCCTTCCAGCTTTGAACTGCAGAATGAAAAAAGTACAGTCACACATATATCCTTACGTTCGATTAGGGAAACTATATGAAACAGAAAACAGGGAAGGAATTCAGGAGCCTACCTATTACCACCTAGGATCCAACTCAGCATCGAAGGCATTGCCAAGCTTACGAAGAATCTCCCGCCAACTCTTCCAGGATGTGGTATCCGGAACTTTGTCAAGAACTGCAAAATCAATTCAGAAACACAAACATTATGGATCAGTATAAAAACTCCCAGCTGTTGTTTGTTGGATTCTTCTCTCTTTATTGAACACAAAAACGACATACCGACAATGGTCCAAGCCCTACACCCAAGTAAGGTCTGTAGGTAGTAGCCATTATTGCAGCCATTCTAGCCATTCCATGGATGATTGCTACTCGTAATCTCCTAGCCTTCTCGTAGCTGCGAAGATAACAATATCACTGATGAGGAATCTAAGTAGCTGAGCCATAAGAATTAAGCGAGAATATGATCTTGATTCACCTCTTCAAAGAAGAAAATACATCCACTGGCTTTCCTGATTCGATGCTTTGGTCGTACGCGTTGACAAGATCCACTGCCAGTTGATAACCATCCTGTCATTGCAGACAATGGATTTAGCTCACGAGATCATTTTACATGGATTAAGTTCACTCTACATAGATCTCGCTTTCGAAAAGATAACCCAGGTTTCACCTCAATAGCCATGCACCCTCCTTGACCCAAGTTAGGCTGCATAGCATGAATGGAATCCCCGAGCAATGTCACCCGGCCCTTCCCCCAGTTAAGAGTAGGAGTCCTGTCAAATATATCGCGTCTGAGAATGGCTTCTTCATCCGTGGCACGGAGCACATCGATCACATTGTCACACCATCCTTCAAACAACTGCAGCAACCTCTCCTTTTTACCTGTGATGATTCGAGTTCACGATTTCGATCTGTATCCGATTACGCAGAACAAAAATACACTGCAGCCAGAAGCATCAAGAAGAGAAGGGGAGTTAATTAGTTTTATACCACCAGGCTTGTCTGTTCCCCCAGCAGGTTCATTGTAGAACGCATACCACTGCATCTTTCCAGCTCCCACATCCGAAGAGACGAAGTATTGCTTGTGACCCAAGAACACTCGATACCCAACAGACTCGATGTCAACCGGAACGAAATCTGCTATGCCTGTGTAGCAAGTGTAGCCCGAGTATGTCACGTCCTTGGGTCCGAATAACTTAGTTCGCACCTAAACAAGACGAGAGGACAAGATGATCAAGCACAAACTTATATCTATCACCATCTAACATCAAGATTTGAGAAATCTATAGGTGTTTCGAACCTTTGACCGTATTCCATCAGCACCAACCAACAGATCGCCTTCGTACTGCTGTCCATTGTCCAGTGTCACAGTGACCTGAAGTCACAAAGTTGTTTGTTACAATTAGTGAAAACACAAACTTGCAAAAGGTTCTCCAAATCAATGAAACAAACACCATAACGACATATGATGTTCATTACTTTTTCTCCATCGTCCTCGAAATCGACGACATTGCTACCATTCTGGATAATCTCTTCACCCACTGCAGAAGCAAGGATTCTCTGCAGAGTCATTCGGCTTATAACTCGAGTGACCGGAAGTCCACGCTCTACAGCAGGAGTGAATGTATCAAACTTCACGTACCTGATATAAACCAACTACTTCTCTTCAATTTCACTGACCTCAAAACAACCCCACACAACAACAACATCAATCACAGTAACTAAATTAACTGAAAAGAAGCAAACCCACCAGCAAAAATTGGTAAACTAAATCAAAAGTACCAAACTTTTTTGGTCATACCCTTTTCCTTAACAACTTCACCCTTTTCATATCAGCCACAAAGATGCAAACTTTGAAGGCAAAACAGGACCACAGAGATATTGTAAGAAAACCCAGAATCAGAGGAAACTAACCAGGTGCCAGAAATCCCATCAACAAGCCCATTAATTCTATCCCCAGTAACACAACCAGCTCTCATAACCTCATCCGCGACATCCAAATCGATCGCCTCGAGCGCAGCCAGAGCATTGCTCTGTATCTGAATCGGCCCTCTGTACTGCCCTTCTCCTCTAATAGCACTCAAATCCCTCTCGAACACAATTACTTCAAACCCTTTCTTCTTCGCCGCCAGAGCAAACACCAGCCCACCAATCCCGCCGCCGGCGACCAGAACCCTGAGCTTCTTCTCGCTCTGCTCACTCGGTTGGCTCGCCGGCGGGGCCTCTGCCGCCGCTACAGCTTTGACAACCGGTTGACTACCCGATTTATGCCTTCCCCTGCCACTTCTTTTCCTGCTTTGAAAGTGGTGTTCACAGCAGGAGAACTCGAGAGGGAGAACTGGGAAATGGGTTCGCGAGGAACCCGCCATGGATGATGGAGTAATCGAGCTGCAGGACAAGGTTAGAGAAGCCATGTTTTTTTGTGTGTGAAGTTGGAATTGAGGAAAGGTGCAGAGACCTTATTCTCAAGTGGGTAGTTTAGAGGAAGAGAACTGGACGGAAGTGAAGGAAGTGTGGAGGAAATGGGGAAGGAAGACAAAGTGGCGTTTTTTATGGAGTGGAGGAGAGGGGAAATGGGGAAGGAAAAGATTTTCTTGGAAGAGAAATAGATTGGGGGGAAATCAAATGGGAGAAGAGGGGTCAATCCTAGTGGGCGAAGGAAATGAATTCTGGTACACAAATCTAAGCAGATCAGAAGCCATGTGGCACTCTCACACCGCAGAAATATCCATGAAAATGACACCTAGATTATTGTCTATGTGATATGTTCGATTTTTTTCAGTTAATTTTGTACAATTTTCGATTTGGTGAGGCGATTCAAATTTATATTTGTTGTACTTGTCCGTTGTGAACTTGTGGTGCTCCTGCTGCGAAGTCAGGAATCGATTCGGTTCTCCAGATCCTAACGCGTTTCCTCGGAATCGGTTCGGTTCGGTTCGGTTATAACCATAGTTGTTTATCCGGTTATTAGTTAATCATTAATAATTTATTTTTATTGTTAACAACATTATTTATATTATTCGATTGATTTGTCTACCAACTAGCATGTGATTCAGAGCGGTTAATAAGAAATAATTAATCGATTATCTAATGTGTTTTTTTTAAATCCATTGGAACCCTTCGCTCTACCACCACCACCGCCTATGAAGAAGATGAACTCGGATTTCACCCCGAAGTTTTTCAGGACGGATATCAAATTCGTCTAGGGTTTCTGACTCATGCTCAACCTAATGGAGGACAATGAAGAGATGTCAAATTACATAGTCAAAGAGTTGTTGCATACAAAGAAGGACGAGAAGAAGCAGTGACAAAGCATGTGATAGATCCACACTTACTTAGGGAGGGAGTGAGTAGAGGAGAATGAATTGGCCCTATTGTTATAATCGAGATAGGGAATGTGGCCTACAAGGTTGATGATGAACATTCTGGTGGGGGGAGGGGTTTCGATGTGGAGGTGTGTTAGGATTTGGTTGGTGGCGTGATCTTTGGAGAACCGTATGATTAGTGAGTTGGGATGGAATTGTTAGTCCTATTGACACTTAGAGAAGAAAGCGAATAGAGGAATGAGAGGAGTGATGAGTGTGAATTAGGTGGCACACTCTTTACATCTTTCCACATGCAGAAGTCATATGTAACGGCTTAGGTGAATCCCACATAGACAAAAGCACAAGAGAGATCTATGATTCATTAGTAAGAAATCGACCTTCACTAACAAGAAGCATTTTCGAGGTGATGTCATGGGAAGTCGCCTAGAAATGCACCCCAAGACAAAATCCTTGAGGGTCTAGACCCAAAACAGACAATATCTTATCGAAAAAGAATTCGGGATGTTACATCATATGATCTTCTCAATCCAACATTGATGTGTACACTTCCATTGCAAAGTCGACGTGTTATTTGCCGCTTGCAATTTTAGGGCTCACAATGGGGGAAAGACAGAGGGTTGGGTAGAGTCGTAGAGGATTGTTTGTTTGAAATTCAAGAGTTTGTTTTGGAGAGACTTGGTCATTTTGGGCAGAGAAACATAGGTACTTATACTCGTTGAGTTGTCAGTTAACCTCTATCGACTATTTGATTATCGGTTATAGCACAATCTAAATTAGCCTACCAGTAACCACCACTAACTTATAATCTCTTATATGTTTGTTTAATGGTGTAACCACTAACCGGATAACTAGATATCACCCCTACTTGGAATTATTTGACATTTTGAACTAATCAATTACCAATGAATTGATACTTATGTCAGTTCACACCATTTTATCATTGTCATAACAACCTCATGCTAAATAGTAGGACTTCATGATACCATCTCACTACTATCATATAACTGTTATATGATAACATTATGGTAATATCCTCATTTGATAATAATATGACATGATTTTTTATTGCTAAAAAGTATAATAATGGATGTCATCTTGTAATCTACACTATGATAAAACTCCATACTGTCTCACCAATGTCATACTCGCATCAGACAACTATAATAAGACATCGTAATATCATCTTATAACAGTCATGTCTTAATCTCACTGCTATTGTAAGACTACACATCATCATCTCAATGTCATATCATAATATGAAGTAGGTAAGATGGTTTAAAAAATTGCCACTAAAAATATCAAAATGCATGTCATTTTGAAAAATATGAATTTTTAACCAATTTTTTTGAAAATCGCGCTCCTCCAACAACAACAACTATTTAGATATTGTTTTGTTGTTCTGCATATTTGAAACAAAAATCTGCCAACAAATATGTAAATGTTTCTATTTTCGTACCAAGATCATCCTTCAATGCGCTCAAAAGGAAAATTTTAGCACCAATAGTTTAGAGTACTGTAAAATCTTCTTCTTTTTTTTCCTAATGCTCTCTCAAATCAATGTTATTTTAACTTCTTTTAAAAAGCATTTTAGACCTCACATAGCTAGCTACCATTGAGTGAGAGCTTCTATCATTGAAACTATAAGTACAACTTCTTTAATTATGCCATCTTCTATCTTCTTTTATTTTGAAATGATTATAAATTTATAATTCCTCAATTTCGCTTTGTAAAACCCAACTTCTTAAATCCTTTTTTCTTCGAAGGGAATATTCTTGAATGGATGAACCAAGCTACCCATCCATTGCCGTTCTCTATATGCCTAATGCTGGACGGCTATATATGTATGCCATTCCTATCATCACCTTCTCGTTAGTTGCTTGCCATTCCCCAATTATTGATCGAACAACTACCACATTCACTGCTTGGTCTTTGGATGATACATTCCCAAAAGAGAAAGAGTGGTCCACTTGCCTCAACTTCATGTCTCTTCGTTTAAAATTTTACCGTAAAAACTCGAGAATGTACTTCTAAAACATTATCAAACATGGCTCACTGCTAAAGTTTCCGTCCAAATTTTTTTTAACCACATTCGAACCGTTATTTGGGCGACACACATATGTCTAAAATACTCCTAATAAATGGAGAGGCAAAAAATGATATTTCCCCTCTCATTTTGTCGTGTTCATGTCGTCTGAACCATGATCCGAACGTGGTTGATGATTTTTGGATGAAAATTTAACAGACATGCATGTGTGGTAATTTTTCTGAAGTATAGATGTATGTTTAATATGAAAAAAAATAAAGTGACATGTTCGATAAAAATGCATAGTAAAGAGGTATATTATATCTATAATCCTTGAAAATTACACTACAACTTTATAACATCATCTTTTGTATCATCATGGTATAATATGGTAAAAAAAATGCATATTTATTTTTTTCCAATATATATTAAAGCTGATATTATTTTATATAATATAATTAATATGAAATTTTGTAAAACAAATGGAATCTACCGTAAAAGAAACTATATTTAATTTTTATTAAATTTTACTCAGAGTGAGAGATTATGTAAGGTTTACATAACCAATGGTTATTAACAGAATCTGCTCCACCATATATGCACATCTTTGCTCCTTCATTCTTCGCTTGGGTTGGGGGTAGGGCTGGATGTTCGGGTTCGGGTTTTCAGTTTAACCGAGACCGAATTCATCGGTTGTCGGGGACCCGAAAACCGAAATGTACTCGCAAATGTCGGGGTTCGGCTGGGGTTTACTATGTAATTCGGTTGTCGGGTAAACCGAAACCGAACCTTTGCAGACCCGAACACCCCAGGCCCAAGAGGCCAAGCCCAACCCAATAGCCTAATTTCTATACTTGGCCTGTCGTCCTGCCCCATCCTCAACCCGTCCCAATTTGGCCTAACCCTACTACTCCTTCGTTCGTATTCGTCCTTCATTCGCTTCTTCTCAAGCAAATGAGAACCACGAAGGGAAGGTGAAACCCCTAAATCAGCAAATCATCAGTTCACCACTCACCAAACACCACCCACCGGTCACCACCCCGCTCGCCAGCCGCCGCAGCACTCCGCCAGTCCGACGCAACTCCACGGATGAATGATGTTGAATATTGGAACTTGGAAGGGTCAGGCTGCCATAATTCCGAGGTGGATTATGTCATTTTGATTTGTGTGGATGAATGGATGAATGGAATTAGGTTGTTGGTTGTGTTGGTATGTTATTCTTTTTCAGGTGTCTGCGTGATTTTCCAGCTTCTATTTGTTCATTTTTTTAATGTTTACAACAGCTGTTAAGTTCGGTTTTTGCGGGTTATTAAGATCGGTTTTGGCATGAATTTCGGGTCCAGGTGTGTTGTTCGGTTTTAATCGGGTAACCGCTGAAGACCGAGACCCGACTTATTCGGTTTCGGGCACCCGAGTACCGAAATGATCTCGGGCACGGTTGCTATAAATGGAGGTTTTCGGGTTCGGGTACCCGCCAAATTCGGTTCGGGTGCCCGAAACCGACCCGAAGGCCAGTCCTAGTTGGGGGTATGTAATTGTTCTTCCCCCGCGTTTCGTTGAAAGGATTCAAGACTTTGCTACTGGTGGTTATTAACCGGCCACCACCACCACCAGAGAAACAATTATTGAACGCAACACAAACAACTTGTGGACCAAAAGAACCAAAAACGAAAGGGAGCAAAAACAACCCCTCAAACCTTGATCTTGACTTCAAAAGATCTGGCAGTAGTTAAAACTGAAAATATCTAATGGACAGGTTTTGATTAATTGGAAATGGGAGGAGTTAAATATATATAGTTCTTGCAATTCATTGTGGGTTTGGATGAGTAGAAGAGGGAAGGGAGAGAGTTAAATATAATGAATCTGAGTTCATGATTTGCTTGGAGATGAGCTAGGTCTAGATGGAAGGTCAGTGTGCATCTGATCGGTCTTGCATCTGCCAAGAGAAAGGGTGAAGTGTAAGAAGTTACTCACGTGTTGTTGTCCCGAAATATCGTACGATGATCAAGTTAGTTATGGAAATTTCGAAGAGATAACATTAGGAGATTGATAAAAGTTTTATCTATTGCTAAAGAAAAAAAATGGAATCTTTATATGAGAGTAAGTACTATATAAGGATCGAGCTTTTGGTAGCTAGCTAGTCGTTAGGCCTCGACAATAATGTTCTAGTACACAGGCTGATAGTGGTGGAGTTACGTGTAATTTAAGAGTGGCCGCAACTCCGATCCTCCTCAATTTTCTATTTAAGTTTATACTATGTGTATCTTAGAAAACTGTATAAAGCGATAGGATGGGGATATTAATGT